TTTTTGCATTTGCGTATAAGCAAAAACACATAAAAATGGAAGAAATGTTGATTGGATCAGTGGTGAAAAGAAGTGCGACAACGAAACAACAGTTGAACAAATTAAGTCCAAAACAAATGAAAGAACTCCTAAGAAATTTTCCTGAAAATTCTATGAAAGAGCATATCTGGAATTGCGATTGAATCTAATAAAAATAATCCATAATTCAGCAGTTTTGACAATGCAAATTTGTGACGTCCACTTTTCGGACGTTTTCCAGAACACCTCCTCCGCGTCGCAGAGCTTTTCACGCTACTGTTAGCAAATGCGCTTGCTACTTGGCTGCCAATACATAGTAGAGGGGATGCTACGTCAGGAATCTATCACTGCAAGAATTGCCTGATGCTCAATTTCTTTCTTGCAGGTACCACTCATTGGCAAACGGTGCTCATCAGTTTTCAGCAACGTAACAATTCTTTTTTTCCCGACAGATTTTTTTTTTTTTGTATGCAAATCAGATAAATGAAATCTCAGTATTTTTGAGCGAAGACAAGAATGTATTGTGTGATTGCTGGAAAAGAAGTTGCAGGAGAGGAAACATTTTCATAATCATTCCAGGGTATGCAAATCAGCTAAGAAATAACCATTACCAAATCAAGCGGATAGGAGCGGCTAGCTGAAGCAGCAGGGCCGGAAGTCGAGTCCGGCTTGCGATATTTTGGATAATTTTTTATCCGCTCAGCCAAACGTTTGAAATAAGACGCCGTCACTCTTCTGCAAATTTACTAATTCTTTTCTCATCACCTTCTTTAGTTCTTATTTCAATAACAATGGAAAAATGACCTAAAATACGATGACCGTTTGGACAACCGATTGCTGGGATGCCCTACGAGGGACGATCTCTGCTAGGCTCTCACTCGTTGCTGAACGTTATCGGTTGCGTAACTACCAAAGAAGCAAGTTGCAGACCAGTTTATCAGAATGTGATTTACAGTTTCTCCGAGAATATGATTTACAAGCTAACCCTTGATTTCACAATGATACAACCATGCATGCAGCCAAATGATGCCACTCCGTCCGATTCTGACCCGATCGTCTTGACCAGTTCGGGATGACTAAGGGGGATACAAGTCTCAAATGCTCCAGCTTTCCGGAAGTCGCACTTTTGCATGGCATCTAGTAGAGCGCCGCCGAAAACAAATTTTTGAAAAGCATCAAAACGAGCAAGAGATGTGAACCAACACTTTGCCCACCCGCTCCTCCTCTGTCTCGAAGCTATCCGTGCGTGTCGCTAACATGATCGTTGGTATTCGCTGCAAGCAACGACAGTCCTCCTCGATTGACACTAAACTGCACACTGATAACATGTTCATTTCACACTGCTTTTGTACCAATAATATTTCGAGCATAAGCTAAATTTCATATATGCAAATTTTATGAAGGACACAAAAGTCCAAAGGATAAGTGGAAAGCTGTCAATTTGTAATCGACTTTCTCGCGCTCACCACCTAGCAGCAGCTCGTTCTGGCATCCAATTATTTTGAGAGAGTTAGCAAAACGCTTGTCCCGCTCACGTGCTCCTATTCATCCCAAACACTAGCTTTATTACGAAGCAAACAGATTAATTAGCCAAGCAATATTTACTGAACTTGTTTTCTCGTTGCGTTGCTGGGCACGTTAGAGATTCCGGACTAGACATTTCAAACAAAAATTTCCTATCCTTCGCGAGGGAGGCGAATAATTTGCAAGACTGTGCTGGAGATATGCACATCCCGAAAACTCGCCTTCACGAGCTATCGGCCGAAAGAATGTAATTTTAAAATTTAGTCTGTTTGGTACTCCTGATTTCAGACCATTACTTTATATGAAACAACTGTAATGGTAATGGAAGTGCGGATCCAATCCAAAATGGAAGTAGAGAATAAATAAAACGCTTACGGAAACAGGTATTCAAAAAATGGGGTGTTGAAAAGTAGCTTTGGAGTTAGATCCTAAGTCTCATGTGCAATCAAGGTGTTATTAATACTTATCATACTATTTTTATGCGTTTTTGCTGTGCAGCGCTATAGCAGCGCTATAGCGCTGCTACAGCCAGCAAA